AATTAGACTACTTGCTATTCTGACTGATGCTGAGCTCAAAGTTCCTGAGAAAAATAACCCTGACATGCTGGATCAGTTGAACTCGACATCTCAAATCATATCAGTTTTCCTACTGGTTTGATTAGGATACGCAATTCAAAGGGGGGGTGTGCGATATTGACAAAATATGATATCTCGATATTTTCTGGGATTTTATCGATAACGATAATTAGACAATATTTTGCTGAGTGTGTTATTGTGCTGGTACCTTAAGGACTACCGTGGACAGCTGACTCCTAAAGTTTTTGATATTCTTCATATACAGTGTCAGTTCTGTGGTCTATTCACAGCAGTGACAGAGATTAATCTTTTCCAATAAATTTAAATATATTTTTACTAGGGATGCACGATACTGAGCTCCTGTACTCGTACTCGTTAAAATCCCCCGCTCCCAAACACCGATACCACACATAAGTGCCATATTCAGACAAAGAAACACAGACATCAGAACAACAGACAGCAGAATGGAGTTATTAGAAATTAAGGATATCTACGAAGTATATGTATGCAATGAATATAATGTTAACCATTCAGTATTAACGCCTGTATAGCTGATGTGCGCGAGCTGATAAACAAAGCGCGCTGAGTGGATTGAGCGCTGCGGCGCAGATGCGCGAGCTTGTCGAGTGAATATACCTTTCTCACAGACATCACTGGAAAGTTTGTAGTTCGGTCGGATATGTCAAAAACAAGTAAGTAAAACAATGCACAAGTTACTTAACGGTAGAGAGAGAGAATTATTGCATTGGCAAGGTTGGCACCCCGTGCTGTTGAAGTGCGAGAAGCCTGGGCAGCATGCATCACACTTGTCCCCGTGCATTCCAATCTTGCAGATGCACATGCCTGAACTGCCAGAAAAATACAGAGGAACAGTTATGGAGTTAGAAAGAGTTATACAGGCACAGAAAGAAAGACGTATTGTTCCTACAGAAGCATACAGTATCCTTCAAAAGCCAGACACAGAGAAGTTAAAACCTCTGTCCACATCAAACACCAGGTTTCCTCTGAACTGCCAGAATAGCTGCTCCTTCCCATCCATCACATGTTAATAGACCCGCTCCATGAAAGCTGAAGCAACATCTGTTAGAAATAATGCTGTAAACTAAAGGCATATATACATAATTTATCTTTGATGGAAATCCAAATTTATCAATTTATCAAATTCAGGCATAAACAATATGAAATGACTAAGGTTTGTGGACAACAAATACCTAAATGTATTTCATTGCATTGGATTTAACAGCAGGTAGGATACACCAGAACCTTTCCTGCCCTGGGTTACATGAAAAATGATTACACACAGCTAAATTAGTCATTAGTGCCTGTGTGTGTAATACAATCTCTTTGTACTGCTTAGAAGAGAAACAGAGCAGGGTAAATGCTCTACATGAGAAATTAAAGTGTAACAATATCAGAACACTTAAAATGAAAAGGAACAGAAATTCCCAGAGATGAGAAAATGTCTGATTATAATATTATACACTTCAGTCTTTGAAGAGCAAATGAGGAATGCAGAAGGATGATTTCTTCTGAGAGGCTTGTGAAATCTATTTTTGAAATTATTTATTTCAAGCACATGCACGCACACACACACACACACACACACACACACACACACACACACACACACACACTCACTCTCAGAGTGAATTTACTCTCCACATGTACAATCAGAACTCTCTGCCTTTGCCTATACTCAAGAGTAATTAGACTACTTGCTATTCTGACTGATGCTGAGCTCAAAGTTCCTGAGAAAAATAACCCTGACATGCTGGATCAGTTGAACTCGACATCTCAAATCATATCAGTTTTCCTACTGGTTTGATTAGGATACGCAATTCAAAGGGGGGGTGTGCGATATTGACAAAATATGATATCTCGATATTTTCTGGGATTTTATCGATAACGATAATTAGACAATATTTTGCTGAGTGTGTTATTGTGCTGGTACCTTAAGGACTACCGTGGACAGCTGACTCCTAAAGTTTTTGATATTCTTCATATACAGTGTCAGTTCTGTGGTCTATTCACAGCAGTGACAGAGATTAATCTTTTCCAATAAATTTAAATATATTTTTACTAGGGATGCACGATACTGAGCTCCTGTACTCGTACTCGTTAAAATCCCCCGATACCAAACACCGATACCACACAGCGTGATAAGTGCCATATTCAGACAAAGAAACACAGACATCAGAACAACAGACAGCAGAATGGAGTTATTAGAAATTAAGGATATCTACGAAGTATATGTATGCAATGAATATAATGTTAACCATTCAGTATTAACGCCTGTATAGCTGATGTGCGCGAGCTGATAAACAAAGCGCGCTGAGTGGATTGAGCGCTGCGGCGCAGATGCGCGAGCTTGTCGAGTGAATATACCTTTCTCACAGACATCACTGGAAAGTTTGTAGTTCGGTCGGATATGTCAAAAACAAGTAAGTAAAACAATGCACAAGTTACTTAACGGTAGAGAGAGAGAGAGAGAGAGAGCGCGCGCGCGCGCAATTCTGTTGTGTGATCTTTGATGTTCACTCACTTAGCACACGCATTATTTGGATTAAAACTAAATCGTAAAAATAAGACCATTTATAGGGGCATTCACTATAAATGTAATTTATTTTTAACCTTAGGCATACACGACTTTCTGGCGAAAGTGAATCTAGCAGCTTGTGTGAAATGCGCTAGGCTGTACTATTCTGCATCAGTACAAATACGTGCAAGCGTTGCGCGTGTTTTGCTTGCTGTTTCTGCATTATATGAGTGGCTTTGGAATATAAATTGCAGCACGTTTCAGATGAAAAAAAAACGCGACTTCTATTTTTGAAAATATCACATTTAGGAGATTTATAACGAGCGGTTCCCTGCATTATTACAGCAAAGCGCATGATTACAGTACTAAGCCGCACCAATGGAGCAGCTCTAATGCTATTATATTAAAGATGTACCATAGAGCAAAAAATGAACAGTGAAAGTAACAAAAACTTGTAAAATATATTTTAATGGGCATAATTAAGTGTGAAAATAACAGAAGGATATACAGTCAAACCAAAAATTAATCAGAGACCAGATATAATTTTTGATATTTTTTTACTAGTGGGTGCAGGACACTATAGTTCATTTACGTAAGCGAGGATAGCAAAATAAAGTAAACTGTGACAAATTATACCCAAAATGTCTTCATACAGTGGACTACCAGTAAAACTGATACAAATTTGGGACCAAAAATTATTCACACCGAGTCTGGAAAAAAAAGTTCAGGTTTGCATGAACTTGGATGACAGAATGCCCAGGAGACTATATGCTGTCATTAAGGCTAAGGGTTGCCCAACTAAGTATTGATAGTTGTGTAAATACTGTCATCCATTAGGCTACATACCTTTCTATCAAAGTTATCTAACATTATCAAGCTGAATTTGTTCTGACTCCGTTCTTGTTATATTTTTTTTACCATTTTCTAAACTATAGCGAATAAACTGTGATAATGTGATAAATGTTGAAGGTGTCTGAATAAATTTAGGTTTGACTGTATCTATTTGATAGATAAAGTTAACCTACTAACATTATACATACTCTTTTGGTTTCTGTACCCAATATTTAAAAAATTTACAAATGCAATAAAAATATTGGTATCGGTACTCGGTATCGCCAAGTACCAAAAAATAAATAAAAGTATCGGTATCGGGCGAGTACTGGAAAAAGTAGTATCGGTGCATCCCTAATTTTGACCTTTTATGGGCTTTTTTACCTTTATAAA